AAAAAAAAAACCACACCTGACATAAAAAATTAAAGCCAACAAGCATCTGTAAAAATAACTCAAACAAATAAATCAGTTTTTTTTTGTCCGTCAAACCACCAACATTGTAGGTCAATTGTCACTCTGTTCTCCCCCAATGATCGAGCAAAGTTCGACGTCTCTTTTCAGTCTTAGCCAACACAAAAATCTGTCGAGAAACCGAGCTTTCAAACTTTGTCGTCGCGGTGATGAAGTCCTTGTTGGACAAACCCGACATGGCTAAGAGTATATCCATTGCTTCTCTGAGGAACGCAGCCGCCACTGGGGAATCAACTTTGTACTTTGAACTTCGTGATAGCTCTGCGAAAGAGTAAACACATGATTAACTATTGAAAAACATACATTTTGAACATAAATTTTAATACGAGGCGATATAATCATTAGGATCGTATAATAACTCGTTACCTGTTTCCATGTTCTGGTGCTTCATGATCAACTCCGAATTTCGCCGTTTTAGATCGTCAATGATTCGATCATCGTCCTGTCTACGCAGCTTCAGCTCCTCGACCTCTTTGTCCTTCTCCGATCACCTTGTCTTTTCCGGCAACATTATCGTTAAACTCCCCGAGCTTACGGTATAGAACAGGGATTATGCGACTGGGTTCATTCGATTCCTCTACCTCGATTCCTAAATAATTGCAAACTTCAGCAATCCGCGCAGAGATCTTATCATTCACCTCCTCGAGTTCTGTCGACTCTCCATCATTTTTTTTAATGAGCATTTCTCTTTCGTGATTCATCTCTTCAAACATATATATAGACATCATGGTGTAAATTTCTCTTTTGAAATTCATCCTTTCAAACACATATAGATATCAGGGTGTAAAGGTGATGTAGGGGATGCGTACCAGATACTGTCTCGATAAAACTCACAATCAATTCATATTTTTATTCATAACAACTTGAGATAATAAAAGAGGAGAGTCCTTTATGTAAGACCATAAACCTAATCATAACTTGTCCAACAAGACAAAAATCCTAACATTATTAACTTGTCTAACAAGACAAGAATTTAACAAAAGTGACGAATAATAAATTTCCTAACAAATCTATAATAATAATAATAATAATAATAATAATTAAAAATACTAAACATCCTTATCTCCATAAAAGGTCTTCCCAAATAAATAACCCACAGTCTTTGAAGAGCGCAGATGTATTATATATATAGAATATTATACAAGGTTGTGTGTTTATTTATTTATTTTTAAAAGAAAAAAAGAAACTGATGGGTCGGCAGTAAAGCCTGACTATGTCTGGGGGAAGATGAAAAGGTTTTGGAGAAACGTTTGGTGGTTGTTGCAAAATAAAGAACAAGACATATTCTCAGAATTAATTATTTATTTTAAAAAAAAAAATTAAGTAGACAAAAAAAAAAAATAAATAAATAAAGTGTGGACAAAAATCAAACACACGTATTCTGAGAATACGTTTTCACAATAAAACCGTATTACCGGAATACGTTTTCCTTGTTTGAACGTATTCTGCGAATACGTGTTCCTAAAACAACGTAATTAAGATAATTAATCTTAATTAACACAAACAAAAACGCATTACAAGAATACGTTTTATATTATAAACAGTATAGGCAAAATACGTTTTTTGTTAAAACGTATTTTGTGAATACGTTTTCCTGCTAAAATTTATTTTAGAATTTTGAAAAAAAAAAAATTGTTAATTATAATTTTCTGAAAATATTAAACATATTGTGAACATACGTTTTTAAGTCAATTTTGACAAAAAACGTATTACGCGAATACGTTTTTAATTAAAAATAATAATAATAATAATATAAACCTATTCAATCAACCAACCTGTCCAATATACACCTGTTCAACCAACTCATATATATCAATTCGGCAAAAAAATAATTCAACATACATTATATAAAAAACAATCAACCACAATGCAATATTCAAAAAACACAATATAAAACTTAAAAGGTCAAAATATGGTTTTAAATACAAAACAAATATGTCTGTAGAGTTCAAAGTATAAAATACACAAACTAACTAGGAAGGAGTATAGTTACCCGGAGGTCTACGCTGTCGGGACCCCTTCCTAGGAGGCCGTTGTCCTGAAGAAGACGAGGTTGCGGTCGTGATAGGTGTGGCAGCTTCTTCTTAATGAAAAAAAATTATCACCTGCTTCGTCGTCTCATACGCAGTGGCGGCAGCGGGTTCACGGGCGGCGGCGGGTTCACGGGCACGCCGTCTTCGACCTCCACCAATGTTGCCAGACGGTCGATGTCTCGCCCGATGTGACTGTGTGGCCTGGGAAGGGACGTAGTCTTCTTCAGATAGAAGTTGACTAGACGACGCCCCTTGTATGACCTGTTGGCCTCCAACAGTCATACAACTGTGGAGGATGTTCTGGCTCTTCTGTCATGCCTCCTGCAATTGGGGATGAGCTGTATCCAACAAGTGTTGAACACTTTGTAACGTGTCATAAGCCCCCTCCCCCATGGCACCATACTGAAAATAAAATTCAAACAAATGAGTTATGGACACAAAAAAAATATAATAATAATAATAAAAATAAATAATAATAATAATAATATAAATAATAATAATAATAATAATAATAATAATAATAATAATAATAATAATAATAATAATAATAATAATAATAATAATAATAATAATAATAATAGTAGTAAAAATTCACAATTTAGGAACTTACATCACACTTTGCCCGCTCGGCCATTGGCTGATAGTCTCCGTCTTGTTGGACCGCCGGGTAGTTGTTAGGGTTACTGATCAGTCTCACAGTCCTCCTGTGAAACCAATCAATGTAACCCTCCTCAGTCTCTAGGAA